GAACTCCAGACAGATTAGAAATAAGTTTCATGTCATTTATCCAACCTTAAATTGAGCAATGACTTGAATTTTATCAAAAATTTATATTTGATGCTATTCCTAAAAGGAAAAACCTGGGTACTCAAGAGGATAAAACTGGGGGTGCCACTGTGGGGGCCAGCAGATTCCCAGGGGGGGCTATGGCCCTTGCTGYCACCCCTGAGCTGAACGTGTGCTGTCTGCTATGAACAGTGTGGATTGGTCCATCATGTCTCGTCTTGCCTGTTGTCCTGGTGCAGGGCTGGTTTGGACAAGCTGATTGGTCCACGACAAGTTCGAGGCTGGAGATGTGGTCGACGAAACATGGAGACCGAAGTTCGGTGGGAGRACGACGGCTAATGAGTTGGTGTCCTGGCAGCGGACCTGTTTTGAGGTGGAACCAGTTCTGGGCCTTGGTGTTGTGGAGGACCAGGTGGTCAGGTGCACACCTTGTGCGACTGTGAAATGGGGAGCACCGAGGATGAGTTTTCCTCATTACAACACTCCTAGACAKTTTTAATAAAAGAAAAGGCTCTAAAGGGTTTAAAATTGTGTTGTGTTCCCCTTTTGTTGCGGTCTRAAGACTGGGACGTAACAACCATTTTTGTTTTAAGAACCACGTTTAGACATTCAGGTCAGTTGATATTGTAAATTTTATTTTTCCAAATGAAATTAATTTGATTTTGATAGTTTTATCTGGTATAGCCATAGAATAGGCTGGGTAAATACATGGCTACACTGTAAACAATTTATCYTTATATTTACAGTAACTTACTAGCAACTGTTATCTAGTAACTTACTGTATTTTGTTTTACAGTAGTTTTACTGTAAATACATACAGCAGTTACTGTATTTTATTTTACAGTAAAACTACTGTAAAACAAAATACAGTAGTTACCATATTTATTTTTTACTGTAAAACTAATGTAAAACTAGATACAGTAGTTGCTGTATTTCATTTTACGATAAAACTAATGTAAAACCAACTATAGTAATACTGTAATAAGGTAAATAACAGTAGCTGTACTGTAAAATAAAATGTCATTGTACCGGTATTACTCATAACACAACCATTTTGTTTTCTTCYGTATACTGAAAAATGAAGAAACAGTTTATTAGTGCAAAATTAAGTTATTTCACAAGATTTTTCTCAACTATATTCCAACATTATTTATGAGAAGTAGTTTGTAGTTGTCGAAAAAACTTAAAATGACAAATAATTTCCATAAAAAGATAATTTATGTAAAAATTGTATAATAAAAACACATTACAGTCATAATTGTGTTAGCATGTTAGCATTTAGTTAATCTAACAAATGTAAACTGATTTAATTTGTATAAACACTATAATAAAATTAACTCAATAAAAAATGACATAAACAAACTTTGATATATAAATATTAAGTCACAAAACACAAACTAGTAAAAGAGTACCTCAAGTAAAATGATAAATAGTTTAACATTAAGAATGCAAAACTAGCATACTAAAATTTTAGGCTCAGTAACAAACTCTTTAAAAACCATCATGTACCACATGAATAAACATTTATAACAAATGTAACATTGTAACACCTGTTTTTTAACTAAAAACAGAGTACTTCAGGTACTTACAAAACATTCATGACACCAAGAATATAACAAAGTAACCCCCATTCTTTATCTTAAAAAACAAATACAATAGCATGCTCATGATACTACAAAAGGGTTAAAATACCAACAATATAACAAAGTAATATATATGTTTAAAATTATTCTATTAACAAACAGAACAAACAGACAATAGACAACTTAGGCCAACTTAGGAAACATTTTTATGTCTAAATTGCTAATAAAAGTTATATATTTGATCAATTTGTTAGAATTTCATTATGTGCACGCCAAAAAGAAGTTTCCTGTTGACTTTTTCAATTCCGTCTTCAARGTAGATGTCTTTACAATGTTCATAAGTTGACATAAGTTGTCTAATGTGCAGGACCTTAGTTCAGTAGTCTCTCAAGTCCAACTATGATGTATTTATGAGTGTATTTAAGCTCATTTACAGTGAGTACCTTTAAATGAACTCCAGGGTTGAGGCTGTCTCATTATGTTACTGGATGTTAAACACATAGTATGACCCAAAAAGCCAGAGTGGAGGTGACGTCCAGCTGTAGAGGACCAGGAACAACTGAATCTTCAAGGCCATCATCCACTTCTTTGCAGTCACAACTTGTTCTCCTGAAGCAGACATTTAACTTTGAGGATGTTACCAATTTGACTGACGTTACCAAGTGTTTTCAAAGTGGGCTCTGCAGACCAAATGTAAACTTTGAAGCATAAAAGTGATATCTGTCACCAGCTGACCCTAAGTATTTTTTTAATCTTATGAACATGTAACATTTAAACATTAAGTTCTCAGTGTCTTTCTGGTCAGTGGAGAATAATTATAATAATAATTGGAAAATTTTATTGGAAACTAATTAAACTAAATGGTAACTCCACACATTATGGAAAGGAGAAATGGGAGAAAGAGCTGGGGAATAGTATTACATCAGAGGAGTGGGACACTACAATCAAAAAACATTATACCACTACAAATTCACAAACATGGAGAGACTTCTCATGGAAAAACTGCATGAGGTACTTCCTAACTCRAAAACAGTTATCTAAACGAACTGGTCTCCCTCCTACGTGTTGGTGGGGGGATGTGACCATTATCCTGCTGATCATTATCATGTTTTTTGGGGGCTGCCCTGTTCTGTCTCCATTTTGGGAGGGTGTCCACCAAAGGGAGGTTTTGGGCTATGATATTGAATTTACTTGCTTATCTTTTTACTTGGGGAGTATGAGTATATATGTACCAAAAGTGGATAGATATATTCTAAAAAACATGATGACAGCAAGGAAGAAAGCTATAACAAAGCTATGGCTTGTCAGGGACCCCCCTACTGTTAAGCAATGGATGGGCATTATTAAGATGGAGTATTTGACTTTTAAATTAAGTTTACAAGAAGATGAGCGTAAGGTTCTTTGGGGAAAATGGGACACATATCTTACAGGTGTCGACCTATCATTACTTTGACATATATAGTCT